TGAGAAATCACAACAAAATCAGTCTAATTTTTATCTGATAAATATGTTAACTGCTTTGACAGGTACCATAATCGCAATTTGTTTGACGAAGATAGATGGCTATTTGACAGTATGTTTAATGCTTGATGATAAGTCCATCAACAAATATACATTCATAGTTGTAGTCATATTTTGGGTATATTAAAGTAAAGTCATGGCGGTGCTGTACATAAACTGAACTTGGCTATTAAGTTGGCAAACATTGCAGCTTAAAATGTGTGTATGTGTGTGCAAAGAAAAGCATGAAAGGTACACAAATCATATTACTATTATTCGCAGTTTTCTTCCTTTGCTGGATGATAAAAATCTTCTTTTTATACAAGTCTTAACAATGATGACTTTTGATTCAATTACTACATCATAACTCAATTTTATTAAATAATCACAATTTCTCCTCTTTAAAAAGTTTTTCTGCTGAAAGAAATCCCATCTTGCGACGAAAACTTTTCCAGAGAAATAACAATTACTGTCCAGTGAATAAATGACCTTCAGATGGACAATTGCTGGTTATTATTTATTTAAGCATTTGCAATTGATTACATCACGACAATATGCTTAAGGCATTTATTGTTCTCATAGTTGTGCAATTCGTGAAATTTTTTGCACCATTTTTTGCAATTTGTGCAACATTATTGTTTTGCAAGTGTGATCACTGACAGATAAGTTAAAATGATTACTTACGTGAAGTTCAAATTCAATCGCATATACAAGAAATGGATGATAATTGAAAAATGAATTGCTGTGCTATAATACAATCATAAGAAAGGTTATGGTGTAAGTTTGCTTACTCTGCAATTTCGCTTTCTTCAGTACAGTACTGAACAATTCTGGTAATAATTTAACAACATCAATGCACTATTCCTGCCCATATTTTCTTTTCAAATTTGGAATTTTGTATTTCTTAGCAAATAAATGAGTTTGTTGAGAAGAAGAATAGAATCGAAATTATAAGTTCAAATTATAAGCAAGTATGGTTGTTATTGAAGTGAACAGATAGCTCTGCCTTACTTTTAAGTGAATGATGCAAATAAATTTATATCTTTATATCAGTTATGATCTGCAACAAATATATTCAGATTAGACAGTACTATCTATTCTTTACCATCTCAGTTTCCGTTTAACTGATCAAATTGCATCACTTCTTGTTTAATACTGAATGTACTGATTGCGATTCTCACGACAAGAATCTAGATTTGTTTGTTTTTTGTCTGAACTTTGTAATAAAATATAGAGCAAAATTATTATATTCTGATCTGCTAAAATAATTGTATATCATTCTCTTATCAATTGCTTCACTCAGACTTAGATCATAAATTTGTAAAAACATTTGAAGGATCAAAACTTGTTCGAGAGTTATCTGAATGACTGCAATGATAGATGTGAAGTGAAGAAAAACAAGTAAGAGGCGAAAATAAGATAAGATTGTTCATACACTGATTTCGAGCAATCGTTCTTCTCACTTTTGCTTTTCATTCCACCTAGTTTTAAAAATTAATTACACAAATTTCACACTTTATTTGACTTCAGAGTTATTGAGAACACTGAATATAAATATAACGCTTAGAGATAAGTACTATATTAGCTGATTTGATTAGCGACAAGCAAGTCATGAGCAATAATTCAAACTAAGTGACCATAAAGGTTTCTGCGAGTTAGTGCAATGGCATAAAACTTAAATTTAAAAGTAAGTAGTACTACGTTTTCAAAAAGTTTGTTCATCAGCATTGTTTGACTTTTGAAGCGCAATTGGGTGCAACAGTTTGAAAATATGCAATTGTCTCTTAACGTATATGCATGCAAAAAGTTGCTTTCATCATGAAAAAAAAATCTATTTGTATTTGGAAAATTGATGATAACAATTTGTTAATGTCAAGTTAAAAAGTAAACTTTATTTGCTGACATGATTAAATGATTTTTTGAAGTGTATTGTTTATAATATCACTGATATTATACTGGATAAGAATGAGTATGATTTTGCTGAGGTATGATTAATGTTCAGATTTTTTTAGACTTTTGAGCCATAAATTCTGAGTAAATTTAACTAACTGCGAATATAAAATACAAAAATAGTTGAAAATGAAGAAGAATGTTTGTTGAATGCATAAAATTCTCAAAATTTAAATAATAACGGAGCGATTACACTGATGAAAAAGCGAAAAAACTTGTACATGTAGAAAAAAGTATTGGTAGCATTGAAAGCTTTTTTGAATTCTCATCTAAGCTTATTAAGATTTACATTTCTAATCATTTTAACACATTACATATGAATGAGTAATTTTTATATCAATTTTTACTTGCCTTTATCATTTCAAAAATACGCGCTAAATCGTTTTGCTTGATTACAGTTTTAAGCACTTGCATTTTGCTCCACGCTCTTAACTTTTGGCTAATTTTTCAAGTTTGTTATCATTTTATTTATTTCTACTATTTATTTGTCCATCACATGTAAGTCAAAAAATAAAAGCAAGCAATTCAACTAATTCTCTTTGGTATGCAAATTTACGATGGATCTTTTGAATTTTCAATTTTGGACTCTTTATCAGCATGCAGTGATCAAAAAAATACACTTTTTATACAATCACACTTAATTACATTAAATGATTGATTTAAATACTTGTTTCTAGATTTCATTGAGTAAATATTACCAGTAAATATTGAAAATTTAATTCTATCAGATTTTGCTTTATTGGTTTTTCAAATTCATTAAACTCAATTTTGATCGCATTTTTTTGCAGTACAATGACGTCAGTGAATATAACAGTAAAAAATATAAATACAGAAACTTGCATAAATTGTTGCTAAAAATAATAATGTTTGCTCACAAAAAATAGCATAGTAAGCAAATAAAATTGTAATAAATATAAAAGGATAATTGCACGATATTTACTCGAATCAATTAAAATCTGATTTTCTATTTATTGTTTTTAATAATTATTAATTTGTTTAGATTTCCAAAGCTGAAATCAAAATTTGAGGATGAATAAGAAGTCAGTTGTAATCTAATATTTGGCACACTATTAAATAATCTTGGCCCTCTCATAATAACAATCCATGAGATTTATTTGTACACTATTTTGAGTCATAAAAAATTTGCACAAAAAGAAAACTTTACATTAAAGAAGTTAAATTAAAGAACTGATCGAACAATAATTAATAACACATATAGTGATAATTGATAAGAAAGGTAATAGTAATAAGAGTGGTAATAGTAATAATAAGATAGTGTAATGGTGGCTGAAGGAGAAAAAATGAGAGCTTTGTAAAATAGTTGACATTATTGTCTGTTCATGCTTGAGTGTAATCAGAACGCAGAACATAAAGTCAGAAAAAAGATAAAAATCGCAAAATTAAAAAATGGGTGAGAGGTGGAAATGTGTTCGAGGTTGAACATTTGCACATTTGCACATTTGCATGGCTGTTATCTTTGCCCAACGCAAATCATTCCTTTTTACCAACCATTTCTACCTCAGAAAATAAGTTAAAAAGTAAGTAAAATAAGCAAATGACAAACTTTTTACACTCGCTTGGAACAATTAACATTGTTGCTATTATAAAACTTGAAAAGTTTTCATTTGTGTTTGTTTCACACGGCAATGAATATTTTCTAATGCATTCACTAATAGCAATAAAAGCCCTTTTAGCACTTAAAAATTAAAGAAATTAAAATAAAATTACTTGTAACTAAGGTTAGCGTTGAAAAAGTTTACTTAATGATTTGATACAAATGTGTACTTATTTAATGTCAACTTTTTTATATTGTTTTATTCGCAATGAATGTCCTTATAATGTGAACCACCTCATTTTTCATTGCAAATGCCAATCTCGAACTGAATTTAAAATTGGAAATGCCAGAATGAAGTATGCTCGATATCATACTATCATGAATTAGATTGGAGACGACACAAAAATAACAGATTACATCTGCTCTGGTTCTGATCTTCGTTCATAAATACATATATTCTACTAACTTGACTGCTATCATCTTCCTTATGCTTGGCCAATGGACTACAGCAATTTCTGACTTATTATTTGACCAAACTTAATCTTGGCTTGAAAAGAATGCGGTCATTCTTTTTTTGCTTCAAATATTTAGTCAATGCTAAAATTTGGTTACAAATTGCTTTTGCTGCTACTACAATTAACCTTCGAGCAATCTTTTTTTACTTACAAGCAGGTTCAAAATGTGTTCTTGCATTTTCTATTAAAATAGCAAAATGAATGATAATGGTAATTAGCAGCAGAAAAAGTGTAATTATGAGTGAAAGAATACGAATATGCAATAGCAGCTAATTTACAGCAAAAGTACAAAAATATGATCGCCGAAGAATAAAAAATAAAGCAGTAAATCGTGTTTCTACAAATTGTTAAGCAACATTAACAGCTTCCGTAGGCAACTGAATATGCAAATTTTCAAATTCATTTATTATAAATAACAAATAAATTTAACAACTTCAAGAAGTAAAGAGAAGCGAGAGCAAATTGAAGATAATGGGAGGTAGTAATTGATAGAGTTCATCTGAAGCATTCGTATTCAGCAAACAATTGAAACACTCTATTCTTGAACTGAAATGACTTTCGCACATACATATATATAATTCTTCATACTCTTAACAGCTTTAAACAGTAATTCGTTAACGAAAATTCACTTTTACATATTGTACTCCCAGCCATAAAATTCATTCTTCATTTACCTTTGCTTTACTCACAACATTTTGTCAATGCGTTTCTTATCATATATTCTAACAATGCTAATTAATTAATTTATTAACTAATCAATAACAATAATAATAATAATAATGTACACCATCGATTGCAAAACTTTTATTATATTTCACATCAGTACTACTAAAATTTTTGTTCATTTTATCACCACTAAATAAAGTTATCACCGTTGCTTTTATCAGCTTTATTATTACTACTGTAATAGTTATTATCAGTACTGTACTGAGCATAATCCAGTCTTATTCTTCTATTTCATCTTCTCCGTTTTCGTCTTTTGCACCTTCTAGTTCACAGTTTCCTTTCAAATCACACTCAGATTCATTATCATAATCACCACCATTATTGTTTTTCCCCTTGTCATATCCTATATTTGAGTTATTACTATGGTCGCAGTTCGGTTTATTGTGCTCAACACAACTACACAAAAAATTTTTTCTATTTTTGGTACCATTTTTATTTGCATAGTTCAAGGTATTATCCTTATCGTCCTCGTTATGGCTATTCATTTCGTGATTTTCCTTCATTTTACCATCTTCAAAAACATAAACATTGATAGTTTCAGCTCTTCTCGCCATCGCAGTTTCTGCTGACTCATGATTACTACCATCTTCATCATCATTATCATCATCATCACCAAGTGCATCGTTTTCGATTGTAGTTTTCTGCAGTTCACCATCATCATCATCATCATCTTCACGAGTTTCGATAGTTTCAGGCAACAATAGAGAAACAACTGATTCATTATCACTATCATCATCATTATCGTCATCAAAATTATGTTGAGTAGTTTTAACCCTTTTCGTCATCAACGATTTTGCTAGCTTATCGTCTCTATCATCAAGCTCAGTATTTCTCACTATAATCCCCTTCAGTTCATCATCTCCATCATCATCTTCTTCATCCGCATGGGTAGTTTTAGACAATATCAAGGAGTTTGCTGATTCACTATCTTCATAATCACTATCTTTATTTTCATCATCATCGCCACCAATATTATCATCAATAGTTTCAACTCCTTTCATCACTACAGATTTTGCTTGCTTATCATCATTGATATCTTCATCATTATCATCATCATCATCATCATCATCATCATGGAGTGCAGTATTTCTCACTATAATCCCCTTCAGTTCATCATCGCCATCATCATCTTCATCCGCATGGGTAGTTTTAGACAATATCAAGGAGTTTGCTGATTCACTATCTACATAATCACTATCTTTATCATCATCATCATCGTCACCAACATTATCATCGATAGTTTCAACTCCTTTCATTACTACAGATTTTGCTTGCTTATCATCATTGATATCTTCATCACTATCATCATCATCATCATCGAGTGCAGTATTTCTCACTATAATCCCCTTCAGTTCATCATCGCCATCATCATCTTCTTCATCAGCATGGGTAGTTTTAAACAATATCAAAGAGTTTGCTAATTCACTATCTTTATAATCACTATCTTTATCATCATCATCATCATCGCCCTCAACATTATCATCGATAGTATCAACTCCCTCCATCACTACAGACTTTGTTTGCTCACCATTGACATCTTCATCATTATCATCATCATCATCATCGAGTATAGTATTTTTCACTGTAGCTCCCTCTAGTTCATCATCATCACCAACGTCATCAGTATCGGTAGTTTCAGACAAAGATTTTAGGAATTGATCATTACTGTTTTTAAGATAATCATTATAATCACTTTCAGTATCTTTTATCATTCCGCTGTCTTTATCATTATTATCTTCATCCCTTCTCATTGAATTACTTTCGTCGTCAGAATCAT